TCACTTGGTAGCCCAGGCTGGACTCGAACTCACAGAGATCCGCCTGGCTCTGCCTCCCGAGTGCTGGGATTAAAGGCGTGCACCACCACCGCGCGGCCTCTTAATTAATTTTCGATCACATGAATGTTTACTAGCTTAATTTTTGAGATGGTCTCAGTATGTAGTCCTGGATGACCGGGAACCCACTATGTGGTCCAAGCTGGCCTTCAACTCACAGAGATCTGCCTGCCTTTGCCTCCCGAGTGCTGGAACTAAAGGCGTGCGCTACCACGTCCCGCCATGGGACGGTTTTAATAGTGCCTGAGCTCCCTTGCTAGCCCCAAATCTTGGCTTTTCTGAAATCCTGGGGTGCAGACCCCTGAGGGGAGGGCAGGGCCAAGGCCTGTAACCCTCCCTCTAGCCTCTAGAGGGCGCCAAATCGCCCAAGACCTGGCCTGAAGCCAGGAGCCCCATGAGCGCCTGGTACGCAGGCGCAGCGTGGGCATTGGCCCGCCCCCTACTCCTTATTGGCTCCTTCGTACTGAGAGGCAAGGTCGCGCGGCACTGCAGCGGCCTGCGCAGGCGCAGAGCGCTTAGGACCGGAAGTAGAGGCGTCCGCCGCCGCTTCGGAGGTAAGGGGCGGGGCGAGCGTGCGGGGCGGCTGCGAGCGGCGGTGTCTGCTGCGGGGCGTGCTTAGGGCTGCTTCCCCGCGAGCCGGGGAGTGGGGAGAGCCCAAAGATAATGAAGGGATAGCCGGGACCCCGGGAGCTCCGGCGGTGCTGGAGGACCGAAAGGCCCGGAACTGAAAGGAGCTGGGGCACAGGTGGACCAGGAGTCCGGGAACTGGAGAGAAAGGGGGCCCGGGGGGGGGGGGATGGGGTGCCTCCGAGTGGGGCTCACAAGGGCGCCGGGATCAGGTTGGGAAGAAGGACTGGATGGTGGTGAGAACCACGCTTATGGAAAAACATAAGAGTCTGAAACAACCCTCCAAGTTGGGAGGTGATGGAGAGTCGTTCTGAAAAAGGACGAAAGGAAGAAGTGCACCCCAAATTCACGTTTCTCCTGCTGCTTGTTTAGCTTCGTAAAATAGAGTGGGGATGGCACTTTCTTAATGTTGTGAGGAAGTGAACATATATGCTTACATACATGATTGAGACCAGAGAGAGAGAGAGACAGACAGACAGACAGACACCCTTGGAGAGTATTGAGTGGAGCATTATAGACATAAACGGATGGCCAGGATCCAGGTGTGGAATCAGTATAGGAGGCGGAAACAGCAGGATTGTCAAAGGCCGACCCAGACTACGTAGAAAGACTCTGGTCTCCAAAAATAAAGCTTAAAAAAAAAAAGAAAAAGAAAAAGAAAGTTGAAACAAAATGAAGAAGGTGGAGAAAGTCAATTGGAGGTTTGAGTTGGGTTACAGGAAAAAGAGAGGAAAAAATAGGTTGGGAAGATGATTTCGTAAACTACATAACTACATGCTGGGCAAGAAAGAACAAAGGCTTGAGTTTGAGGGTGTGGGTGGCTTGTGACTGAACCTTAGTACTGGCAGGAAAAAAGATACGGTGATAAGATGGACTGAGAAAGAGACTGAGGTCTGAAGACAGACAGCAAGAGAAACAAACCCAGGAAGGGTTTGAGCCTTGAAATAGTCCAGAGAATCAGAGATGGTCAGGGACAAATTTATAGAGAAAATGGAAGATCAGGTAATCTAAAAGCTCAAGAGAAGCCAGGTTTTGGTGCACACCTGTATTCCCATCACTTTGGAGGGTGATTTTATTCCAGTCTGGGCTACAGTGGCAGGTCTGTGTCCAGAAGCCATACCCTGTCTGAAGTAAATGAATGAGAGTTCGGTATGATGGCGCTTACCTGCAATCCCAGCACTTGGGTGATGAGTTCAGAGTCATCCTTAACCCGTGTAGAGAGTTCAAGGTCGTCCTGGACTATATGAGACCTCTATGTCAAACAAAACCCAAATCAAATGAATGAATGCTTGAAAGAATAGACTCCTTGGCAGGCATGGGATGCTGATGTTGGGTCTAGCATGCGTAGGCAGTTTATTGCCTTAAAGGAGCCCTCTCCTTTTTACAGTCCCTGTTTTCTGAGGATCACTGGCTGCATATTCTAGTAGCTTTCCTAAGCCTTGTCCTCGTTCCCCTCTAGACTAGCAGTCCCATCGTCTGCCCAGCTTCAGATTACTCAGAAGTGATGTACTCTGCCTGGTGTCTGCTCTGTCTGTGGGAGTCAACCCAGCCACTTCTCAAGGTCTCCCTCACTCAAGAGCTCCAACAGTTCCTAGGGTTGGACTGAGTCCTCTTCCACCCCTGTGACTGCGTAAAGTAAACTTCTGGACTCTGAGACTGAAGGCTGAGTTGGTGAGATTGCTAATGCCACCAGGAGGTGATGTGTGGCCTTTTGTGTCAGTTTTTCCCAGGTTGGATGTCCCAGTGCCTTTGCTGTTTCCCGTGTGTTGGAATCTCTTAGTGTGGGGGAGAAAGCGTTGAATTTGAGTAATAGTTGCTCTTTGGCTCCTTTGCCAGTGTTTTGATATTTGATGGCTATTGCCCCAGTCTTATACATGAAGAAAACCACTTCAAATAAACTTATTTGTTCATGGTAAATGGTCAGATTCAAACCTGATGATCTACTTGTCTCTAAGTTCTTAACCAAGGAAGTGTGTGAGCCCTTTTAACAATCATAAGCAACCCCCCTTATTACATTTTATTTGTGTGTGTGTGTGTGTGTGTGTGTGTGTGTGTGTGTGTGTGAGAGAGAGAGAGAAAGAGAGAGAGAGATATCACTGTTTCCTCCCATATGGGTTCCAAGACTTAAACTCAGGTTGCCAGGCTTGTTGGCAAATGCCTTACCCACTGAGCCATCTCACTGATCTCATAAACCCTTTTAAGAAGGAAGAAGGAACCTGGTAGTGGTGGCGCACGCCTTTAATCCCAGCACTGGGAGGCAGAGGCAGGTGGATCTCTGAGTTCGAGGCCGGCCTGGTCTCCAGAGCGAGGTCCAGGATAATTGCACAGACAGCCGTATGTGCTTTATTACAATTTTTTTTTTCAACCGAGAGAAAACAAGATCCCGACTTTAAGCAAAATGGCATTTTTATGGTGTAGCTCAGTAGCAGAGCACCCACCTAATGTGTGGGGCTTTGGGCTCCATCTCGGCATGGCAGGGAAAGAAAAGGCGTTTTCCCACCAGGACAAGAAGTGGAGGGTTGACAGGAACTAAGCTTTGGACGCTGATGATGTTGTCAGACATAACCCACGACCTCTCACAGTGGTCATCTGTGTGCCCATTGGGTCCCTCTGTGTGCCCACTGGGTCTATATGTACCTTATTGTCTAAGGTACACGTCTTGGAAAGACTGATGCCCCCGAGCTGCTCTGAATGGGTTCAAGTTTAACCCATTGTCTAGGTAGAACAGATTTTAAAAAGGGAGAGGTTCTCTCTCCTAGCAACCAAGTGTAAATTCCAGGGCAGGGACCTGATTGGGTCATGTGTCCATTCTTCTGACCAATCACTGATTAAAGAGGGAGAAAGAGTGCCATGGCTGGCTAGGCCTTTGTGGTTTGCCCAGCCCACCAGAGCCACGCGGATGTGATGGGCTGTTCTCTGAACACCAAAGGATGGCATGTGCCAGGCAGGCAAAACCAACCCCTAGCACCATAGAAATGTGCTTTCAATTTCAAATTTAGTTTCAATTTAAGAAATTCAATATCAAGGGCTTCATTCAGTGTTGTGACTCCCAGTGGACAACAGATGAGAAGCCCGTTCCCTATTTTTATTGTTTCTGTTATTCCTTCTCACAAGATTCTCTTGTTGATTGACCATGTGACCTACATGAAATAGCATTCACAACCACCCTTCCTAGTCCAGTGCTTAAAGACTAGCAGCAGGCTTTTAGTTGATGTTCTAAGAGTGAATGGCTGTCTTTTCCTTTCCAAGCATCCAGGACCTGGAAGTCCAGAATGAGCCCTTGTCCCCTTCAGAGATCACTGCAGAAGTCATGAGGTCCCTCGTGTGTCCCCAGCTCCTTCAGGCCCCTGGCTGCCCACCCTGCCATCCACAGTGCTCCCGTGCAAGGAAAGGGGAGTTCACCTCCAGTTCCTGCTTGCTGGAGACGGGGCATGGGGTGTAGGTGAGAATACTTGGGTCCAAGTGATCAGAACAGAGACTACTTCTGACAACACTGTGATAGGAACCATGCCCCCTCCCAGGACCAGGGAGGAGAGGGACCGCGGAGACAGGGACCGCGGAGACCGGCACCACCATCGAGCTCCCAGGGAAGAAGAGGCCCTGGAGAAATGGGACTGGAAGTGTCCCGAGACTCGGCGCCTCTTGGAAGACGTATTCTTCCGCGATGAGGATTACATCCGTCGTGGTTCCGAGGAATGCCAGAAGTTCTGGGCTTTCTTTGAACGCCTGCAGAGATTCCAGCACCTCAAGGCCTCCAGGAAGGAGGAGAAGGACCCTGGCCATCCCAAACACGGCATCCCTGCTCTCGCTGACCTACCTCGCACATATGACCCACGCTACCGCATCAACCTCTCCATCCTCGGCCCAGACACTCGGGGCCGTCAGGGGCCGGGCAGGTGGCTGCCCCCCGAGAAAGTGTCGGAGTTCCGTCGGGCTCTGCTACACTACCTGGACTTTGAGCAGAAGCAGGCTTTTGGGCGGCTCGCCAAACTGCAGCGTGAGCGGGCGGCGCTTCCCATCGCCCAGTACGGGAACCGCATCCTGCAGACACTCAAGGAGCACCAGGTGGTGGTGGTGGCCGGCGACACTGGCTGCGGCAAGTCCACCCAGGTCCCCCAGTACTTACTGGCTGCTGGCTTCAGTCATGTGGCGTGCACGCAGCCCCGGAGGATCGCCTGCATCTCACTGGCCAAGCGGGTCGGCTTCGAGAGCCTCAGTCAGTATGGTTCCCAGGTGAGCGGCACACCAGGTTCCCACCCAGGTTTCCCGGTGAGACTCGGGGCAATGAGTTGATCGTCCTCGTAGCAATATGCATTAGAGTTGTCACCTAGGTACTGACCCAGAGATGATTAGAACTTCTATCTGCAGCCAACAGGCAGACGGATGGAAGCAAAGGAGGGAATACTCATCCATCTTATTTCCTAGCAGCCATTAGGAAATTCTGATTAAAGACAGTTGGGTTTTTGTTTTGTGTTTCTGTGGGAGTGTTAGGGGTTGAACTAGGGTCTCGTTCATGCCACTGGGCTGCATCCCTAGCCCGTAACTCTCCATTACCCTGATATCAGGAACGGCACCAGACACTGCATGAGCACAATCACATACAGTCTTGTGCATCCAGGGGGAGGAAATCCGGTCTCTAGGGTGGCCCTGTGTGCCTAGGTCAGTGGCCTCATAGCAGAACTGCGATCCCACCTCAAGTCCACAGAACTCGAGTCTGACCCACAGACATGGCTTTGCCTCAGACTCCCGTGTCGGACAGGGAGGAGCTCTGGCGCTCCACCTCTTCACTGTGTCCTGACCTCACGCTCTCCTTCCCGCCGCCCCAGGTTGGCTACCAGATCCGCTTTGAAAGCACACGCTCGGCGGCCACCAGAATCGTGTTTCTGACAGTCGGGCTGCTCCTGCGCCAGATCCAGCGCGAGCCCGGCCTGCCCCAGTACCAGGTCCTGATCGTGGACGAGGTCCACGAGCGCCACCTGCACAACGACTTCCTGCTGGGGGTCCTGCGCCGCCTGCTGCCCCGGCGGCCTGACCTCAAGGTCATCCTCATGTCGGCCACCATCAACATCTCTCTCTTCTCCAGCTACTTCAGCCACGCTCCGGTGGTGCAGGTGCCTGGGAGGCTCTTCCCCATCACGGTGAGCCCCGGCCTCTGCCTCTGCTTCCCACCGCCCTTTCCCATCTCTGCAGCCCACAGCCTCTCTCTGCTAAGGTCTGCTATGGGAGAATCGTGTTTGTCTTGTGGGAAATCCAGCCCTTCCAGGTGGCAGACTGCTCTGTTTCCCGTGGTCCCGCAGGGGCTCGGGTTCCTCCTCTCTCACAGCTCTACCATCTTGCAGGGCAGGGACTGTCATCACAGGGTCTCGCCCTGTTGGCACAGTCCAGATGGGGCACAGTCCAGATGTGGCCATTGTGTAGTAAGGCTCTGTCCTTGTCTGCTCAGGCAGGACTTCGTTGTTGCTGGGAGTTTGTGGTTTTGCATGCCCATGACGATGCTTCCTAACAAGTACCGGGTGGGGTCCTCCCAGGCTCAACTCTTTCTTGGTCAGGGTTCGATTCTGTAAGAGCCTATGTGCTGTCCAGTAAATACACCTTTGTAGTCAGCACCTCGATTTTAAAGCCTGCAGCACTGCCGGTACCCGACCCGGAGGCCTTCTTGTCACCTCACTGCTTTTTGATCTCACCATCTCCTCTAAAAGTTGCCCACCTTGAGTGGACCTGCCGACCAGTCGTGCTGGGTCCCCCTGAGAGCCCACGGTCCCTGTCCCATTGCTGCTCGAGTGACAGCCTGTCCCGGTACTGGCTCTCTCTCAGGTGGTGTACCAGCCGCAGGAGGCAGAGCAGACAGCGTCCAAGTCAGAGAAGCTGGACCCGCGGCCTTTCCTGAGAGTGCTGGAGGCCATCGACAATAAGTACCCCCCTGAGGAGCGGGGGGACCTTCTTGTCTTCCTCAGTGGCATGGCAGAGATCAGCACGGTGCTGGACGCTGCGCAGGCCTATGCCAGCCTCACCCAGCGCTGGGTGGTGCTGCCGCTCCACAGTGCTCTCTCTGTGGCCGACCAGGACAAGGTACTGCATGCAGCCTGCCAAGCAGGGCTGGTGGGAGCCTCGAGGCCAGGAACCAAGTGTGGCTACGCATAGCACTGGTTTTATCCCCCAACCCCAGGTCAGTGGGCTTGTATGGCGTTAACAGCCATCACATGGCTGAGCAGCCTGTACATCCAGGATATTTGGCCCTGGGGATCTAAGACAGGAGTCGGCAGATTTTCTATGAAAGGCAGGCCAGAGGGTTTTGCTTTCAGGTTTGTAGGCTACAGGCTCTCTCACCAAGTTCCAGGGAAATTTTATTCCCAACAAGTACTGTGGCAGGCTGGATGTGGCCGTGGCCGTTGCTCTTAGCAATTATGCCTAGCGCCAAGAGAAGGGCTTCTGCAAAAGGGACCTAGGTGATAGCCTGAAGAAGTAAGGAGAGATGGGGCTGGACCACAGGGTGCCTGAAGACTCAGTGTGGCGCCCAGACTAGGTTCCAAGTACGCTGGGGAGCCATAGGAAAGTTCTGACCAGTAGGGGCATGGGTGGGGCGGGGGTTAGAGTGTCCTTGCCTGGAACCTGGGGACCGGAGAGCAGCTCTGTGGGCTGAGGGTGGAGATGGAGGGGCCTGGGCTAGGGGAAGGGGCTAGGGCTTGGGGATGGCGAAGAGTTCAAGGGACGTTTAAGACGTTCGGGGGCTGAGGTGTGGAGGGATGTGTAGGTGACGTGGGTACCGGGGAGGGTGCCGAGGCTGTTTTAGGCCATGGGTGAAATACGCCTGGAATGCCCAGGAGGCCATTGAGCAAGCAGGTCCATCAGGGCCGAGTTAGTTCCTCATGTGACTTCCTCCCTTGCCCCAGGTGTTCGATGTGGCTCCAGCTGGAGTACGGAAGTGCATCCTGTCCACCAACATTGCTGAGACCTCGGTCACCATCGACGGGATCCGCTTTGTGGTGGATTCTGGTAAGGGTGGCACTCAGTGCCCATGTACCACCGTGAGGAAGCGGGGGAAATGTAGGCACAGAGAGAGAGAGGCACAGACGTGACCACAGAGCCCCCGAGCACTGCAGGGCGGAGGTGGCATTGAGCTGTGGAGCCCAGGCAATACCTCAGTGTCCCTCACACGTCCCAAGCCTACATCTCTCTGTCTCAGGGCCTTCTTCCTGCTCTCCCTGCTGAGGTCGGTGTCTCTCCTCTTGTCCCATGGCTTGCACAAACGTTCACACCTAGTGATCTCCCCCTTCTGCTGTTGGGAGGGACCAGAATCACATTTTTAAATCTGCGGCTCTGTTTATTTCACGTGTTCCCAACTGGAACCTTCACTGGAAAGTCAGCCCAGCATAGTTGCTAGGATACGTCAGAGCTGGCCGGTGGGGTCCTGTCGTTGACCACGTCTGTAAGATGGAAATAGGAACAGCACCAGCCTTAGGCTGTGAGGAGGAGGAGTTGGTGCTCTTGGGTGTGTGGGTACCTGGTACCGTGTGAATGCCCAGCAGCCTTAGCAGTTAGTGGTGGCGTGGCAGGTAAAACATCCCATAATACCATGAACCCTGGAGACATTGTTTAAATGCCATCAGTTTAGACATGGTGTGCTCTTGGTTTTGAGGCGGTAGAATAGGGCAGAAGTAGTGGACGCCCCGTGTGGCGGTGGGTGCCCTTGGTCCCGGGAGACCAGGGCCTTTGCTTGCATGTGGCTGGCTCCCCAGCACCTGCGCCTGCACATAGTAGGTGCTTACTTAATCGGGGTGTGCGGGATGACTGACCATCGAAGGAGCCAAGGTCAGAGAACAAAGGTGTGTTAGCCAGCAGCCTTCTGCCTAACAGACCCTGCCACATCGCTTCCGCAGAGACCTGTCCCAGCTCATGGCTTCCGTCCATGGTCTGGTGACCCTAGTACTTTGGGCCTGTAATGGAGACAGCTCGCTCAGGGCCGGGAAGCAGAAGGGTGGAGGAAGGGTGAGGCCCTACTGTCCCTTCACGTCGTCGCAGTGGCCCGAGGCACTCCCGCCAGCCCCACCTCTGAAAGTCTAGGGATCAGCGTATGCCAGGCACGCTCTCGCCACGTCCTGCCAGTGCACAGACGTGGAAATGAAAGCGCAAGTGAGCAGAACGTTGGGGCAGGCCTAGAACATTCTCTCGGGACTGTGGCGGAGTGGCATGTGGGGTCGAGCGGGGCCAGCACTTCTTTGTGCTGCTGTGCCCACTCCGTGCCCCCCTTCCTACCCCCGCCTCACCCAGGGAAGGTGAAGGAGATGAGCTACGACCCGCAGGCCAAACTGCAGCGGCTGCAGGAATTCTGGATCAGCCAGGCCAGCGCAGAGCAGCGCAAGGGCCGAGCGGGCCGCACGGGGCCCGGCGTCTGCTACCGCCTCTACGCCGAGTCTGACTACGACGCCTTGGCCCCATACCCAGTCCCGGAAATTCGCAGGGTGGCCCTGGACTCACTGGTGCTTCAGGTGAGGCCTCCTGACCCTGTGGCTGCCAGGGAGGACTCGGGAGGGGTTTTGACCCAGTCGGGGTGTCCCCGCTCTGGGAGATCCGCACTCAAGTTGGAGGATTGCTCCTCAGATCCAAGGGCGCGGACAGGGCTTTGGCTGGAAGCAGAGCTCGGTGCAAAGCAGCTTTGGCACCCGATTCCTTAAGACAGTTAAGTCATGACCTTTACTCGTAGGGTAGCTTTGGTTTAGTTTCTGTGACAGGGACCCTCATGGGTTGGCTAACAGAGCTCTTTGCTCTCTCTCGGTGGGTCTCTATGCACTCCTGGCTGGCCTGGAATTTGCTATGTAGCCCGGGCTTGCCTTTTTTTTTTTTTTTTTTTTGTGAAGGGGGTGTGGTTTGGGGCAAGGTTTCTCAATTCTGTAGCTCTGGCTGTCCTAGAACTCCCTCTGTAGACCAGGGTGTCCTCGAACTCACAGAGATCCGCCTGTCTCTGCCTCCTGAGTGCTGGGATTAAAGGCGTGTGTGACCACAGCCAGCTCCTTTTGGCCATTCTTTGACTTGCAGCTGCCCTCTTGCCCGTGCCTGCCGAGTGCTGGATGACAGGACACCACTCCTCTTCCTGGGAGAGGAGCCTGGAGTGAGAACAGCCCGGTGTGGGAGCCTGATACAAAACCCAGCAGTGGGCCAGGTGATTGTGGTGCGCGCCTTGAATCCCAGCACTCGGGAGGCAGAGGCAGGCGGAGCTCTGTGAGTTCGAGGCCAGCCTGGTCTACAGAGCGAGATCCAGGGCAGTTAGGGCTAAAGCAACAACAACAACAACAGTCCGGCACTGCTCAGTCCCCTGCCAGTCACCTTTGGGAAGGCTGGGAAGCACAGTCTCTGTGCACCTGCCATCCCAGCACTGAGGACGCTGAGCAGGAGGGTGCCGAGTTGCAGCAGGACTGAGCCTGCCCAGCACGCATGCGTAGAGCCCTTAGTTCCAAACCAGCACCGCACACACCCAGCATGGTGGCCACACCTGCCACCCCAGCACTCTGGAGGTGGGGGCGGAAGGGTCAGGTTCGTTTTAGGCTACACAGTGAGTCCAAGCCAAGATGTAAGTTCCTGCCCTGAGATGAGAAGGGGAGAGAACTGGCAGCCGAGCTCAGACGTAGAACACGGTCTAGCCTGTGTGAGGCCCTGGGTTCGTTGCCAAAGATTGAACGAAAAAGAGAAGAAAAAGCAGGTGTCTGCCTTGGTTCCCATGCTGCCCGGGCGTGTCTGGGAGGTGGCACAAGCCAGTGCCCTTCCTTCCTACAGGCGTACACTCTGGTGTCCTCTGTTCTCACTCGGGTTTTACGGGGATTTTGATTGTGACACAGCACACATCCCTGGACTCACTGGTGACTTCTCCACCTGCCAGTTAAAGTGACAGCGGCTTACCAGGGGTGGTGGTACGTGCCTGGAATCCCAGCACCCAGGAGGCTCAATTAGGAGGCCATAGAAATTGAGGCCAGCTTGGGCTCTACAAAGAGACCCTACCTAGCAGTCACAATACAGCCTCAAAAGCCCTGGCCGTGTATTGTGGGGGATTAAAGCAGAAGGCCACACTCTTCACTTTTCGTTTCTTCTTAAAGAAATGTGTGTGTGTGTGTGTGTGTGTGTGTGTGTGTGTGTGTGTGTGTGTTTTGAGGCAGGATCTCACCATATAGCACAGGCTGGCCTTGAACTCAGAATTCTCCTGCCGCAGCCTCTTGAGTATTGGGATGACACTGTCATGCTTTACTCGTGTGATCTTTTTGACACTATCAGGGAACAGGGTGGAAGGTGGGCGGCGGGTGGCCGGGTGGACAGCTGCATCTCCAAGCCCCGGATGATCCAGGCGGACTCTCTGATCTCTCATGTCACACCTCCTTTCATCCGCTCTCCAGAGAGGCCCCCGGTTTATATGTCAAGATGAGCCTGGTGATGGGGTGTTCTGTTATATTCTCCCTCGCTGTCCCCTCACAGGTGGCCTGCCTGGCTGAGGAGCAGTCCAAGGGATTTTCTGCTGTGGTGGACCAGTCTGGGTGGTCCATGGTCTAGGCTTCTAGCCAGCTTCCCCCACCCAGAGGGTGTCAAGGGTGTACCAGCTGCAGTGTGCCTTAACCCCGGGGACGTTTTCAGATTGGCCCGGTGTGGTCATGTGTGTGTGCACTGGCAGTCAGGTTTTCTAATGGATGCAGGGATTGCTGTTCCTCCCATGTAGACCCGGGAGCGAGACAGACCTCCACGTGAGACATTTTGGAGTTTGATGAGTTTGATACCCTGTGGCTCCCGTGTCCCCTGAGGCTATTGGCTTCTCATTTCAGATGAAGAGCATGAGCGTAGGGGACCCACGGACCTTCCCCTTCATCGAGCCCCCTCCACCTGCCAGCCTGGAAACCGCTATCCTGTATCTCCGCGACCAGGGGGCCCTGGACAGCTCAGAGGCCCTCACCCCCATTGGGTCTCTGCTGGCCCAGCTGCCTGTGGACGTTGTGATTGGTAAGGATCCCCTCCAGCAGAGCTCACGGACCTGCTCGTTCTGAGCGACCCATAGGCAAGTCCAGGCCTTCCCAGGACACTCACCGTCATTCATACAGCAGCTCATTCATGAGTGAGGATATAGTCCAGTGCCTGGGGCTGGGGTGCAGCAGCGAACACAATACACACGGACCAGGAAAGTGAGCACAGGCGTGACAGAGAGAGGAAGCAGGAGACGGGCAGGACGTGTGGGGATGGTCAGGCGCCACTGTCAATCAGGGAAGCTGATGGTTGTGCAGGGACACGGAGGTGAGGGTATGAGCAGGGTGGGTGGATTGGGCGGGACATTCCCAGTGTAAGCCAGAAGCAGCGTGACTTCAGACTCGGCAAAGGGAGTGGGAGAATCCATTTGGGATAATTCATTTTGCTTAGACAAATGCACCCAGAACATGCTTACAACGTGTAATTGGTATAAAGTTATCACATGTTAGTTTCTTCATGTAAGTCTTGGAAGTCCAGTGCGCAGTTCCTATTCCAGTGTTTGGATCAGGCGCATCTCAAGTGCTGATCTCAGTAGCCACGTGCGGCTACTGGCTGCCATATTGGCATGCCAGGCCAAGGGAACAGCCAGTGCAGAGGCCCTGTGGTGGGAACTCTCCAGTGGGATCGAGGAAGCCTGTGTCGCTGGCCGGGGAAAAGGGCAGATGAGGTACAGGGAGGAGAGGGCCTTCGAAGGCTAAGGAAAGACAGACAGGAAGCAGCGACTGGGTCAGGCCAGTGTCCAGTCCAGGTGTGTGCATGCGCTGGCGAGTACCGACCACACCTCCTCCGCAGCCTCCTCCGTCCCCTCCGCTCCCTTTCCAGCCTTCCCTGCCCAGGAGTTTAAAACACTCGGTCAAAATGTATGTAGCAGAGAAGCCAGTAAGTGAACGAAGCCCCAACATTGTGATACTGGGGGCGCTAGCCTTTGAGTGTCATTCCACAGAGGCCCGCTGGCTGGTATGACACAGTAAACTGTTCCCTGGCTTCCCGCAGCTGGGGGGTCCCTGAAGCAGTGTTAGCCCCATCATTCAATGCCACGAGCCTGGGGGACAGTGAAGCTACCCTGGTGGAGCTCACACACCACGAATGGGAGGAGGGCACCGGGTGGCGGTGACGGGGCCACACTGGCACTCAGGCAGACGCCTGGCGCCAGGCCGGAGCAGCGCTGTGCCTGGCCTGGGGTCAGCGAGAGGCTCTGGGCGGACGACTGGAGCGTTTAAGGGGAACTCTGCTTTGTGGGACGGGAAGTGAGCAGAAAATGACGAGGTCAGCCTGGGTGAGTCAGAAGGGCTGGGGCTGGGCCCCTTCTGGATCCGTGTCCCCTCCAGCTCCACGCTGTTGAGGGTCTCAGTGGCCTGGAGCAGAGGGAGCCAGCCTGCCTCCACCCGTTACCAAGAAGGGGCATTTGCCCCGAGGGCTCAGGCTCCTGAACTCCGTCTGACCAGTGACACGCTGTTAGGACACGCGGTTTTAGGGTAGTTCTCCCGTTGGGGTGCTAAGGCTGGGGTGCTAACTGAACCAGAGCTGCTGGAAAGACGGGCCTTTGGCCACCCTCATCCTGAGGCGGGTCTCCCTCATCCCGAGGCGGGCCTCCCTCATCCCGGGGCGGGTCTCCCTCATCCCGAGACGGGTCTCCCTCATCCCGAGGCGGGTCTCCCTCATCCCGAGGCGGGCCTCCCTCATCCCGAGGCGGGCCTCCCTCATCCCG